GAGTTAAAGAACTCTCCCAGAAAAGACATGAACTTATCCTGCAGACAAGAAAGTCATGGAAGAAAAATGTAGAGTCAGTTTGTTAGTCCTTTTTTCAATAGGAGTTTGTTCATTTGTTTGTTTTTTCATTAAAAAAAGAAAAAATTGAAAACCTTTACATCCTAAAATCCTCACTGCAAGTGTAAAAGTTTTGTTCTAGGAGGAAAAAATGTAATAAACAAATTTATATTTGTTTCATAAGCCCATCTTCAATTCATGATCCTCATCCTTTTTTCTTTTAGGGAAATTTTATAATTAATTGTTAAAGTAGTTCAAAAGGTAATTTAGCTTTTAATTCAGATGCAATTTGTTGTTTTTGAAAGTAACAATTAGGGTGCGTTTGGTTTAAAGAATGTTAGATTACTGAAAATGTTGAATTACTAGAAAGTTAAATTACTTTGAAAATTACTATGAATCTTTAGGAAAATGTGTTTGGTTAATTAGAATAAATTAGTGGGTATGTTTTATTAATATGTTTGGTTGGGAGGAATAAATTAGTGGGTATGTTATTTAAAGTATTGAATTGTTCTCTAATTAAATATTATTATTTGATATTGTTATTTAGATTATTATTTGGATTATTTTAACCCCCCCTACATTTAAAAACTTAGCAAAAACAACCCTATAATAAAAGTTTGGAAAATCAACAATGCATCTCCACCAACTCAGCTACTACTGGCCGTCGGCAACCATCGCCAGCAGTCGCCAACCTTACCATGCACGCAAGGCAGGAAATGACCTTCATGCGCCATATGGCCATTTCCGGCCAGAGATCTGGCCGAAAATGGCCAGATCGACGGATCTAGCCAGAAACGACCAAATTAGATCTTGCCATTTCCAGCTAGATATCTGGTCGGAAATGGCCATGTCAGCGCACGACGGCCATTTTCGACCTTCCGTGTGCTATTTTGGGGGCAGCGGTTGTCGCCAGCAGCCGGCTGTGGTAGGTGGGTGGGGGTGGTGGCTTGGGTGGGCTGTAATTTGTTTTGAATTTAGGATAATTTTGTCCAAAAAGTTAATTAATTGGGGTGAAATAGTAAACGTCATATTCATGTAAATTAGTTTAAAAATAAGGGTATTATTGTCCTAAAATTTAATTAATAAGGGATATAATTATAACAAAAAAAAAGATTACCACGGTAATCTTACAATACCTAAAAAAATATAAGTAATCAGATTACTTCCAATATTACCAATAGTAATTACTATTAATATTTGAAGATTACTGAAATCTTATATTACTTGATAATCAAACGTAATAATCAAGTAATATAAAATAACATAACCTCAATAATCTCACTTAACCCTCAATCAGGCAATCACACGCCCCCTTAGAGTAAGTGCTTTCAATAATAATTCTATTTCCTCTTTCACCCGTTGTGCATTTGTATGTCCTCCTTAAATGTGAGGAAATATCAAATACTTGACACAGTTAGTGGACGTAGTTTGTGGTTCAAGTTTATCTTTATGTGTCCTTAATTCTATGACCAAATAGTTACAAGGCATTGATGAAGTCAATGGACTTGAAGTGGCAGGAGCCAAGTTCGGATTGATGATGTGTTGCAGTCACCTGAAGACTTAGAGAGGCTCTACTTGAAGTGCATCTCTTGAAATCATTGAACCATGCAAATTATAAGGTTTTATAATTCGTGGATCGATGATAGGAACAAGACTGTTAATATCAACTGAGTTGTCACCTCGGGTAACCTCAGGCAGTATGTTTATTCTTCTTCTCATATCTCTATGAGAATTCCCCATTTTATATTTTACAGTGAAATCAGCCCTGTGATTAGTGGATGTGATCTGTAATTTAGGTACGGAAGAAACACAGGAAGGTTGACATGAAGGTAGTGAAAGGTGGGCAAGACGATTTTTGTCTGGTTTGAACTACTCACAGCCACAATCCACCAATTATACATAGGGATCTAAAGTGTGACAACATATTTATCAATGGTCACCAAGGAGAAGTTAAAATTGGAGATCTGGGTTGGCTACTTTCTGGAGCATGCTAATGCCAAAAGTGTAATAGGTATAGTTTGTATTCTCTTCTTGATATCTTTGATTCTTAATCTCGTATGCACATTCTACTTTGGTATGCCAGTGGTGTGCTGGGGTGGAACGAATCAAACAGGGTAGGACATTTGGTCTAGAACTTCATGTGTTCTAATGGGTCTATTGAGGTTTTTGTTTATGCGCTTATTATTTTTAGCCTTGTTACAGCTCTTAGCTTGCTGTTGATGCTATGCAAGATCTATGGATGTGGTCTTAACAGGAACTCCTGAGGTTTATGGCTCCTGAGTTGTATGATGAGAATTACAATGAATTGGCTGATATCTATTCCTTCGGGATGTGCATGCTGGAGATGGTAACATTTGAATACCCATACAGTGAATGCAGAAACTCTGCTAGATATACAAGAAGGTTTCATCTGTAAGTCATTTATGAATAATTTCCTTGTTTTCTTTATCTTGAAATTGTTCAATTTGTGAGTAATTTCTTTCATTTCATCTAGTGCAGTTTGTATTGGTAATTTAGTCAATTACATTATTCTTATGACTTCATAGGGATAAGCCTGCTGGCCTCTCTAAGGTAAAAGATCCAGAAGTGAAGCTATTTATTGAGAAGTGCTGGTTCCTGCATCCACAAGACTGTCAGCAAAGGAGCTTCTGATGGATCCTTATCTCCAAGTGAATGGATCAGGAAAAAACTTTGCAATGCCACTTCCTGATATAGTTTTGCCCAAAATGGCAGCCTTTGGAGAACGGTGTCTGTTGTCGGAAGACCAGTTAATGCACGGAATAGACCCTCCTCCTTGGATTTGAACATGACACTGAGCTGCCAACTAAACTTCTTTTAATCATTCTGTTGATGGGGATTCCTATTCTCAGAGCTACGAGGTTCGAAGGACAAATAGAGGCAACTTTCCTGTTAAAAGGGAGCTAAATGATGAATACTCTGTATCATTGATCCTTCGAATTGCAGATCACAGGGGTAGTCTATTGCTAGTGTGACACATATCTTCTCTCTCTGACTGTCAAGTGTTACATGATTTTTTGAACTCGGTATAATTGTTATCGTATTTAACTTTGTAATTCCCTTCCTTAAATGCAGGTCGTCTCAGGAATATTCATTTTCTTCTACCTAGATGTGATACAGCTTTTACAGTTTCAAGTGAAATGGTGGAGCAGCTGGAACTGGCAGATCAGAATTACATTCATTGCGAGTTGTCGATTTATTGTTGTTGAATCTGATACCCAGTTGGAAACCTTGTGTCCCTATCGATCATTTGATTCCTAAAAATAGATTAGCAAAGCTAACGATATAGAAGAGCTTCGGTCACTAGAAAGTTTAGAGAATTCAGTGGAGTCGCGCTAGTGCTTGTGAATCTGTCATCATTCAAAGTCTTCAATTCGCCTGGATTCTGGTTCTACCGGGGAATCCGTTCAAACAACGAAGCAAGGACTGATTTTGTGAAGCTTGATGAGAGAAGATCCCGCTCCGATTTCAGTTTCAGGTTTAACGGTAACAGATGTATGGTCTTCTGAGAAGTCATATGCATCTGCAACCTCCAGTGATTTGAATGATAAAAAGTACTTCATCAATTCAGAATTATGTCAGAAGAGTCAGGACACCGTGGATTTCGATGGGCATTGGTTGATCCTGGATTTAACGAATCTCTTGCTAGAGTGAGATTGACCGAGTCCCTTGATGACAAGAGCAAGATTTCAGACATAGACAGTAACGGTGTGGTGGATAGTTTAAATATCCGAGCAAGAGTCTCAGGTGTTGATCCGGAAGTCATGATTTATGTATTAAAATTCTTATTATTAACAAATTTCCCACATCAAGATTAATTCAATGGAATTTGGGTTGTCTTTTGATTTAATTTATGTCAATTAGTTGATCAATTTAAAAGTTTTTTATTATTATTATGTGTTTTTTAATATTAATGTGATAATGATTAAGATGTATTTCAATTATAGTTGTTTTTAATTTTAAGTAAGAATCCAGCATATATAAACCACAATTATGTGTTAAATACATAGTAAGGAATAAAATAGTATTTTATTCAATATATGAATTATTAACAGCCTAAATTAGGATGCATTTTGTAACATCCATAAAATATTTAAGTTTTTTATGGACAACAAAAAAAAAAAAATCCATAAAAGGTATTTTATTTCATTTATAAACTATAAATATACACAAAAATAAAAATAAGAGGTGATTTTGTGTTCTCAAAACTTGAAAATTTGTTCACCATCATTTTCTTAAAATAAGAGCATCTCCAACGGTGTTCTTTATTTTAAAAAGCATATTTCATATAAATAGAGAACATCTTCATTGATTTTTAAATATAAAGAACAAAATTTATATTCAAATCCAATAGACTCTTTAAATTTTAGGAGAGAGAATATGTTTTTTCAAGAAAAAAACTTAATATGAGAGATAAATCATAAATAAAATGCATAAAAACTTGTAATTTATTATTTAAAATTATAATAGAGAGTAAAATTTGACTCTCTAAATATGGAGAGTCAAATTCACTCTTTAATTTATATTTAAAAAATAAAGAGTCTGTTGGACTCTTGTTTCTAAGAATAGACTCTTTATAATAAAGAGTTTCGATCATTTAAAGAGCCCTTTGGAGATGCTCTTAATATCCTTAGAACAATACTAAAAATAAAAATAATAAAAACTCTTTTTTTTTTTTGTGATAAAAACATTATAATAAAAAAGAGAATAAAATATTTTCATGTATTTTCAGTGTGATTTATATATACTATTTTCTGTCATTTCTTTTTTCTAAATACATAATGTTTTTTCAAAGTAAACTAAAGAATAAAAACAAAATAAATATTAAAAATAAATTAGAGAATAAAACAAAATAAATATTAAAAAAAAATCTAAATCGATAAGTATAAATATAAGTTGTGGCATCGCATGGTAGGCTTTGATTTGTTTGAAGACAGAGAAACTGGTTTGCATTTAACCCGGGTGGTGAAGATTTGTTATTCATCAAAAGGACACCTGTTTCCTTCTTCTATGTCAAATTTTATCCATTAGGGTTAGGGTTTTTTTTTTTTTCTTTTTTATATATATATATATTCTTTCTGTGTTGTTTTATATCTTTTGTTAACAATAATTTTTTATTTCATTAATTGTTGCAGAGAAGCCAAGCCAATCCAAAGAAGGAGCTTTTCTTTTCTTTAGGTAAAAACGGAAGAAACCCTTTTCTGCATTTTGATTTTCTTGAATTTTATTCTTTTCTGCATTTTGATTTTCTTAAATTTTATTTATATTTTTTCAAAAAAAAAAAAAAAATTGGTTAAGTATGCCCTTTTTATATTGAAATTATTACAGTAAATGCTTTTTTGAAGCTGAATTTAGGTTAAGGTTCGTGTTTCCTTAATCGGGTTGTTGTGTTTTTATTTCTTGATGCATATGCATGTATATATAATTCTTTTTTTTTTTTTTTTTTTTATTTGTGAATAAAATATGGAATTTTCCTTGCTCTGTTCTGTGGGGTTCTTATGACGAAGCTAAATTTAGGAATTAGGTTATATTTGTGTTTGGATTTTGGTATTTTTGTGTAGTTATTTTAATTTGAATTTGTTGTTTGATAAAATTGAACTGGGTTCTGATTCGAATTTGATGTTAAATTCATGTGGTGTAACCATCAAACAGTTTGAGAATTTGTTGTACCTAATTGAAGCTAGAGCTAGCCAAAAGCCAACCAAGGCTTGGGTTTAATTTGGTTTTCAAATATTGACTCATTTTATCTATTTAGATATGATGTGGTGTAGACAGTAGAGTTGCATTGATATGGAAAGTTCGGAAAATGGTGCAGCGAAAGTAGAGCCTCCTGATCCTGAAGTTACTGAGAGTGATCCAACTTGTCGATATGTGCGGGTAATCTTATTTTGGCTAGTTAACTAATTTCATTTTTCTTCTCCAGTCTATTTGCTGGGAAATTATGGGATATGTAAGGAAAATGAAGTATTATATTTTGTGTTTTAAAACTTGTTTTGGTTTTTGGAAAGCCAACACAAAGAACTTTAGCAAAGTGAAGTTGTGTTATGTACAGTAGAGTGTTGTTTCTTCATTTTCTTATCTTTCTCCCATTAACAACAACAAAACTTATCCAAATGTGGGTTCTTACAGTACAATGAAGTGATTGGCAAGGGGGCATTCAAGACAGTGTATCCTTCATCATTTTTTGTCTTTCATTTCACTGTAGCTATTTGTATGGACCTGGTTAGGTTAATATTTATTGAAGGTTTTGCCGTTAAAAATGTTAAGGAAATATCAAATACTTGACAAGTTAGTGGACGTAGTTTTGTGGTTCAAGTTTATCTTTATGTGTTCCTTAATTCTATGACCAAATAGTTACAAGGCATTCGATGAAGTCAATGGACTTGAAGTGGCATGGAGCCAAGTTCGGATTGATGATGTGTTGCAGTCACCTGAAGACTTAGAGAGGCTCTACTCTGAAGTGCATCTCTTGAAATCATTGAACCATACCAATATTATAAGGTTTTATAATTCGTGGATTGATGATAGGAACAAGACTGTTAATATCATTACTGAGTTGTTCACCTCGGGTAACCTCAGGCAGTATGTTTATTCTTCTTCTCATATCTCTATGAGAATTCCCCATTTTATATTTTACAGTGAAATCAGCCCTGTGATTAGTGGATGTGATCTGTAATTTAGGTACCGGAAGAAACACAGGAAGGTTGACATGAAGGTAGTGAAAGGGTGGGCAAGACAGATTTTGTCTGGTTTGAACTACCTTCACAGTCACAATCCACCAATTATACATAGGGATCTAAAGTGTGACAACATATTTATCAATGGTCACCAAGGAGAAGTTAAAATTGGAGATCTTGGGTTGGCTACTTTCATGGAGCATGCTAATGCCAAAAGTGTAATAGGTATAGTTTCTATTTCTCTTCTTTGATATCTTTGATTCTTAATTTCGTATGCACATTCTACTTTGGTATGCCAGTGGTGTGCTGGGGTGGAACGAATCAAACAGGGTAGACATTTTGGTCTCAGAACTTTCATGAGTTCTAATGGTTCTATTGCAGGTTTTTGTTTATGCACTTATTATTTTTAGCCTTATGTTACAGCATCTTAGCTTGCTGTTGATGCTATGCAACTGATCTATGGATGTGGTCTTAACAGGAACTCCTGAGTTTATGGCTCCTGAGTTGTATGATGAGAATTACAATGAATTGGCTGATATCTATTCCTTCGGGATGTGCATGCTGGAGATGGTAACATTTGAATACCCATACAGTGAATGCAGAAACTCTGCTCAGATATACAAGAAGGTTTCATCTGTAAGTCATTTATGAATAATTTCCTTTGTTTTTCTTTATCTTGAAATTGTTCAATTTGTGAGTAATTTCTTTCATTTCATCTAGCTTGCAGTTTGTATTGCGTAAGTTAGTCAATTACATTATTCTTATGACTTCGTAGGGAATAAAGCCTGCTGGCCTATCTAAGGTAAAAGATCCAGAAGTGAAGCTATTTATTGAGAAGTGTCTGGTTCCTGCATCCCAAAGACTGTCAGCAAAGGAGCTTCTGATGGATCCTTATCTCCAAGTGAATGGATCAGGAAAAAACTTTGCAATGCCACTTCCTGATATAGTTTTGCCCAAAATGGCGGCCTTTGGAGAACGGTGTCTGTTGTCGGAAGGACCAGTTAATGCACGGAATAGACCCTCCTCCTTGGATTTTGAACATGACACTGAGCTGCCAACTATAAATTCTTTTAATCATTCTGTTGATGGGGATTCCTATTCTCAGAGCTACGAGGTTCGAAGGACAAATAGAGGCAACTTTTTCCTGTTAAAAGGCGAGCTAAATGATGAATACTCTGTATCATTGATCCTTCGAATTGCAGATCACAGTGGTTAGTCTATTGCTAGTGTGACACATATCTTCTCTCTCTGACTTGTCAATGTTTACATGATTTTTTGAACTCGGTATAATTTATGTTATCGTATTTAACTTTGTAATTCTCTTCCTTAAATGCAGGTCGTCTCAGGAATATTCATTTTCTTTTCTACCTAGATGGTGATACAGCTTTTACAGTTTCAAGTGAAATGGTGGAGCAGCTGGAACTGGCAGATCAGAATGTTACATTCATTGCAGAGTTGATCGATTTATTGTTGTTGAATCTGATACCCAGTTGGAAACCTTGTGTCCCTATCGATCATTTGATTCCTAAAAATAGATTAGCAAAGCATACCGATCATAAGAAGAGCATTCGGTCACTAGAAAGTTTAGAGAATTCAGTGGAGTCGCGCCCTAGTGCTTGTGAATCTGTCAATCATTCAAAGTCTTCAATTCGCCTGGATTCTGGTTCTACCGGGGAATCCATTCAAACAACGAAGCAAGGACCTGATTTTGTGAAGCTTGATGAGAGAAGATCCCGCTCTGATTTCAGTTTCCAGGTTTCAACGGTAACAGATGTTTGGTCTTCTGAGAAGTCATATGCATCTGCAACCTCCAGTGATTTGAATGATAAAAAGTACTCCATCAATTCAGATATTATGTCAGAAGAGTCAGGACCTGTGGATTTCGATGGTCATTGGTTGATGGATGGATTTAACGAATCTCTTGCTAGAGTGAGATTGACAGAGTCCCTTGATGACAAGAGCAAGATTTCACACATAGACAGTAACGGTGTGGTGGATAGTTTAAATGATCCGAGCAAAGAGTCTCAGGTGTTTGATCCGGAAGAAGATGAAGAGTTACGGAGGAGGCTGACGATGATTGAACAGCAGTACCAGGAGGGAGTTAAAGAACTCTCCCAGAAAAGACATGAACTTATCCTGCAGACAAGAAAGTTATGGAAGAAAAATGTAGAGTCAGTTTGTTAGTCCTTTTTTCAATAGGAGTTTGTTCATTTGTTTGTTTTTTCATTAAAAAAAGAAAAAATTGAAAACCTTTACATCCTAAAATCCTCACTGCAAGTGTAAAAGTTTTGTTCTAGGAGGAAAAAATGTAATAAACAAATTTATATTTGTTTCATAAGCCCATCTTCAATTCATGATCATCCTTTTTGCGTTTAGGGAAATTTTATAATTAATTGTTGAAGTAGTTCAAAAGGTAATTTAGTTTTTAATTCAGATGCAATTTGTTGTTTTTGAAAGTAACAATTAGGGTGTGTTTAGTTTAAGGAATGTTAGATTACTGAAAATGTTGAATTACTGGAAAGTTAAATTACCTTAAAGATTACTATGAATCTTTAGAAAAATATGTTCGGTTAGTTGGAATAAATTGGTAGGTATGTTTTATTAATATGTTTGGTTGGGAGGAATAAATTGGTGGGTATGTTATTGAAAATACTGAATTGTCTTCTTATTAAATATTATTATTTGATATTGTTATTTAGATTATTATTAACCCCCCCTACATTTAAAAACTTAGCAAAAACAGCCATATGATAAAAAGTTTGGAAAATCAACAATGCACCCCCACTAACCCAGCCACTGTCGGCCATCAACAACCATCACCAGCAGCCGACAACCTTATGGTGCACGAAAGGCAGGAAATGGCCTTCATGAGCTATAGGCCATTTCCGGCAAGAGATCTGGCTGGAAATGGCCAGATTGTAACAGATTTGGCCAGAAAGATCTGGCCGAAAATGGTCAGATCAACGGATCCAGCCGAAAACGACCAAATTAGATCTTGTCATGGCCATATCAGCGCACGACGGCCATTTTTAACCTTCCGTGCACCGTTCTGGGGGCGGCGGTTGTCACCGGCTGTGGTAGGTGGGTGGGGGTGGTAAGTTGGATGGGCTGCAATTTGTTTTGAATTCAAGGGTAATTTTGTCCAAAAAGTTAATTAATTTGGGCGAAATAGTAAAAGCCATATTCATGTAAATTAATTTAAAAATAATGGTATTATTATCCTAAAATTTTATTAATAAATGATATAATTGTAACCAAAAATAGATTACCTTGGTAATCTTACAATACCTAAAATAATAGAGGTAATCAGATTACCTTCAATATTACCAATAGTAACTACTATTGGTATTTAAAAATTACTGGAATCTTATATTACTTGACAATCAAACGTGGTAATCAAGTAATATAAGATAACATAACCTCGGTAATTTCACGTAATCCCAATCACACGCCCCCTTTGAGTAAGTGCTTTCAATAATAATTATATTTCCTCTTTCAGCAGGTGTGCATTTGGATGTCCTCCTTAAATTGCTGTGTTGTAACCAAATTTTATTCTGATTTTTTTTTTCTTTAATTAAATACCTTTCTTTCTTTCTTTTTTTTGTTTTTTAATTCTTGTTGAATAATGGATAAAATATATATTTTGAAGCATAAGGCTCCTGATATCAAATCACATATATTTTTCTCTTTTTATTAATCAATAAAGTTCACTGATATCTTAACAAAATTCTTAAATAATCATAAAGCAACCTGACTTGAAAATGTAAAAAGTTTAATTATATAAAAGTCACCTTAAAAAATTTTCATTTTGGCAAACTGTCATTAATTATATCAAAAAATTTCTTTCCGAATTCTATTACACGTGCATATTAATAAATATATGTGATTGAGATTTTATTTCTTTTTGTAAATATTTCTTTTTTACTTAACTAAGCTATAGTGCTATCATTTTTTGGAAATTATTTTTGCTAATTTTCCTTTAATTTCTATTCCTTTTAGCATAGTCAAAAGATGAAGAAAAGTAGCAACGAAAGATGATGAGAAAAAGCAAATCTTTTGTGATTTTCAACCTTTATAACACTATTAGCACACAATTAAGTTCTTACTTAAAAGTGTGTTAGGTTCAGGGAATGTATATTTCTAGGAATAATATATTAATGGAAAGTTGAATTACCTTGAGAGTGTGTTTGGTTTAGGGAATGTTATATTATTGAGGAATGTTGTATTACTGGAAAGATAGATTATTAGGGAATTTTTAGAGAAATATGTTTGATCGGTTGGAATAAATTTATGGGTATATTATAATAATATGTTTTGTTGGGAGGATGAGTTGGTATGTTACGTAGATTACTAAATTGCTTTCCTTTTTAAATAATAATATAATATTATTTTTATTATTATTTTATTCTATTTTTTTAACCCCCCTATATTTGAAATTTTGCTAAAACACCCCAACCATATATAATTTTAATTTGTAGCAAAATCACCCCCACTCACCCCCAGCCATCGTCGGTAGCCAACCACCACCACCGGCAACCGTCGTAATGGTGCATAACCGACCAGATCTGGCTAGTTGTGCTCCTATAAAGCTTAACCTGGCTAGATCTGGCCGTGAATATGGCCGTTTCACGGCCAAAGATCTGGCATTTTCATGACCAGATCTATGACCTTTCAAGGCCACATCTTTGGCTGTGAAACGACTAGATCTAGTCGTTTCCAGCCATGGATCACAATCCATGGTCGGAAACGTCCTTACCGGCACACGACTGGCAAGATCTTACCGATCTTGTGCTGATAGGCCCGATATGACAACTTTCGTCGACGGCCAGCGATGGTGGCTAGCGGCCAGCGGTGGTCTTGGGTGATTGGAGGCATTTTGTTAACTTTTAAACTTTTTTGTAGCGGGAGTGTTTTAGCTAAATTCTCAAATATAAGGGGTCTGGGTAATTGTTATTTGGTAGAAATATGAGGGTAAATGTGTCCAAATGATAAAAAACTAAGAGCAAAAATGGTCAAAATTAAGATTACCTTGATAATCTTATATCAACACCCCTTAGGAAGGTAATTTGATTACCCCCAATATTACCAACAGTAAACACTATTTGCAATAAAAGATTACGTAATATTTTATTACTTGACAACCGAACGAGGGAATCTTGAAAATTAAACAAGGATTACAGGATTAATCTTATATCACCCTGAACCAAACGATACCTTAAGATTATTGGGAATATTTAAAGAAATGTGTTTGGTTAGGTTAGAATAATTTGGTGTATATGCTATATTGATATGTTTAGTTGGAAAGATAAATGGATGTGTATGTTATAAAGATGGATGTGTATGTTATAAAGATTACTAAATTGCTCTCTTTTTTATATACTTATATAATATTTTTTTGAATAATTCTTTTAACCCACTACATTTGAAATATTGCTAAAACACCCCAACAACAAAAAAGTTTAAAACTTAACAAAAACACCCCCACCCACCCTAAGCCACTACCGACCGTTTGCCACCACTGCCAGCGACGTCAAAAGTGGTCGCGACGGCACACGACCAGTCAGATTCGTGCACTGATATGGTCATTTTCGACCAGATCCTTGATGGATATAGCTAGAAATAGCCAGTTCTATGGCCAGAATTAGCCGTCGTTAACGACCAAAGTTTTGGTCGTCTGGTTGTTAACAACGACCAGAGATTTGGCCATCATTAACAATCAGAATAGGTTTGTCCATTTCTGGCTAGAATAGGTCTGGCCATTTCTAACTAGAATAGATCTGACTATTTTCGGTCATATCTACGACCATCTTGCCATTTCTGGCCATCAATATGGCCGAAAACATCCATATCGGCTCACAGTAATCATTTCCAGCGACTTTAGAAGGCGGCAAGCTGTGGTGGTCCATTTGTTTTAAATATAAGGGCGTCATTGTTAAAAACTTAATTAAATAGGGGTAAAATTGTAATGGCGGATTAATGTAAATTAATTTCAAAATAAGGGATAAAATTGTAACAAAAATAAGATTACCAAGTAATCTTAAAGTACCTAAGAAAATAGAGGTAATCAAATCACCTTTTATGTTATATTATCAACAGTAACTACTCTAAAGACATTTGGATCATATAATGTTTTATAATAGGAAAATGTTATATTAAGAGAAAGATAGATCACCTTGAAGATTACTGGAAATATTTAGGAAATGTGTTTAGTTGGTTCGAATAAATTGGTGAGTAATATGTTTGGTTGGGAGGATAAATGGGTGGGTATGTTATACAGATTACTAAATTGCCCTCCTTTTTAAATATTAATATAATATATATATATTTTTTTTTTTTTGAATCATTTTTTTAACCCCCGACATTTGAAATTTTGCTAAAACACCTCAGCCATATAAAACTTTAATTTGTAGCAAAATACCCCCACTCACCCCAAGCCACTGCCGACAGCCAACCACCACCACTGGCTATCGCTAGCAGTCAACGAAATGGTACACGACGGGCTGTATGTGGCCGATCATGCGCTAGCAAAGCCATTTCTAGTCATGGATCATAGATCCATGGTCGTTTCATGGCCAAAGATGTTGTTGTGAAACGGCCACAAATCTAACTATGAAAAGGCCAGATCTTTGGCCTTGAAACGGCCATAGAAATTGCTAGATCTAACCGTTTTTTGCCATGCATTTAGACTGACCAGATCCCACTGGTTGTGCACTATTACGGCAACTGTCGTCGACAGCTGGCGGTGATGGCCGGCGGTGATCTTGGGTGGCTGGGAGTATTTTGTTAACTTTTAAACTTTTTTACAACTAAAGTGTTTTAGCTAATTTTTAAAATGTAGGGGGACTAGGTAGTTGTTATTTGGTAGACATTTTCAGGCAATTGTGTCTAAAATAGTATTTAATCAAGGACAAATAGATATAAAAATCAGATTACCCGATAATCTTTTAATAACAGCCCCTGAGGAAGGTATCTCATTAACCTATATATTACCAATAGTAAACACTATTTGTAATAAAAGATACTCATAATATTTCATTACTTGCAAACCAAACAACGGAATCTTGCAAAATAAACGAAGATTATCCATGTTATCTTATATTACCCCGATCCAAATGACATTATCGAAATCTTATATTACTTGATAACCAAACATAGTAATAATATTACCTCAGTAATTTAAGATTACCCCCAACCAAATACACCCGAAGAATCTTGATTAATTTTTGCATCATCCATCCCAATCATATACCCTTTTGATATTTATTTTAATTAATTTAAGAGAAATAAACTTTTTCTTTTTCTTTTTTCTTTTTTCTTTTTTCTTTTTTCTTTTTTCTTTTTTCTTTTTTTCTTTTTTTCTTTTTTCTTTTTTCTTTTTCTTTTAAGAACATATGAGAGTATTGAAGTCATGGACTCATGGGCATATATACGTATATGTACAAAACAAAACTTATAGCAAGACCTGAATATTGGAAATAGACAAATTTGAGATGAGTTGGGAGGATTATAAAGATGGCTTTGGTTCATATGATGCTTATGATGATGGTTTTGGTTCATATGATGCTTATGAAGATGGGTTTACTTTAGCTTATGATGATGACAATGATTATGAGTTTAATGAGTTTGGTCCACAAGATGATTCTGAATACCATGCTTCTGGTTCACCAGGTTTAGTACATGATGATTTTCATGATGAGTTTGTTCCACAATATGAACATCATGCTTCTGGTTCACAAGATGGTTCCTTTACTGGCTCAGGTTTACCAGAAGATGATTATGATGATGGTAAGTTCGGTTCACAAGATTATTCTGATAATGGGTGTGGTTTAGTTTATGATTCTGAAGATGGGTCTGGTTCAGTTTATGATTCTGAAGATGGATCTGGTTCAGTTTATGATTCTGAAGATAGGTTTAGTTTACAAGGCCATTGTGAAGATGGGTTTGGCTCAGTTTATGGTTCTGATGATGGGTTTAGTTCAGAAGATGATTCTGATCCTGACTGGTTTGGTTTAGTTGATTATTATGATTATGATAATGATGAGTTTAGTTTACATAATGAAAGTTTTGGAAGTCATGAAGCCAAATGGATAAAACATTATTGTAACACTCAGGATATTTTGCTTGTGGGAGAGGGAGATTTTTCATTTGCTACTTGTTTGGCCAATTGCTTTGGCTCTGCCACAAATATGGTTGCCACTTCTCTTGATTCATCTGGTCATGTATTTTTAATCCTAATCTTTTGATTGTTAATATTAAGTTGTGATTAATTTTGATCTGAAGCTGATGAGATTTATTGAAATGTGCAGATTTTATAGTTAGAAATTATGGGTCTGGCCGGGAAAATGTTGAGAGTTTGAGAGATAGTGGGTGCAAAGTGATACATGAAGTAGATGCAGAAACAATGGTGGATCATGAGGAGATTGGATCGATGTCTTTTGACAGAATTGTGTTCAACTTTCCTCATGCAGGCTTTAAAAAGTCGGAATCTCGACAGTCCCAAATCCAGTAAGTAGATGTTTTATTTTTCCTTGGATTATGCTTTCTGAGAAGTAACATAGTTTTAGAAATTTGAGTTTGGTTGGTATGAAATTGCCTGATTTACTTGGTATCCGACCAATATGTGCATCCTTTACACATGCATCATTAAATACATATGCATACGACCACCAATACATCATCAAATACATAAACATATATCCGACCAATGATACATCATTATACATGTTTGTTTGCACATGTGTGTAACTGACCAATAAGAAGGTGTATTTGCATTTATTGCATCTTAATCAAATACATATACATCTGACCAAAGTGCTCCTATTTTTATAAATACGTGTGCATACATGTGTGTATCTGTCTAATGAGGGAGTGTGTTTGCATTTGTTGCACCTAAATCAAATTCAAATACATCAGACCAAAGTGCTACATTATAAAGTGTGGTATTTAGATGCTCCTATACCTCAATATGTTTGTGTATACACGTGTGTCTGACTAATAAGAGATTGTGTTTGTATTCGTTCCACCTAAATCAAATAGGTATATATCCGACAAATGAGAGATTATCTCTACCTTGGCCTATTTTAGATTAAGGATTTACAAAGAAAAAAAATCTATCTACCACAAGGGTATGTATAACCCTCCAATAGTGTGGCGCATGAAACGCGCTGACATGGTGTCCCACAATTGGAGGGTTGTATGTACAACGATGATGAGGCAGATTTTCTCTTTACAAAATGCTACTTTACGATCCCCTAATCCATCGAATGCGCATTCAGCTTATGCACAATTTTCACCCTCAGACTGTCATAACCACCTTCATGATACATTAATTTGAACTCCTTGAGCATATATATCTGGATCAACTTCGAGAAACACCTTGATCCACATTGCTTTCACTTATTAGAAATTGTATACTCTGACTACTTTTCCTTTGGTATTATTATTGATTGAATTATATCTTGTTCTTTTTACTTTTGGATTCTGATGCAGGCGACACACAGGTTTGGTGAGAAACTTCTTTAAAAATGCTGAGAGATTACTGTCAAATGGTGGTGAAGTCCATGTGGTTCACAAGACAAATGGGTTTTTTAAAGAGTGGAGGATTGAAGAGTTGGCTGCACAAAGCGGACTTCAACTTTTAGAGAAGTCACAATTTAGATTAGAGGACTATCCTGGTTATCATACCAAGTATGGCTTTGGAGGCAACAAGGATTTTAACTGCTATCCAAGCATGACTTACAAGTTTGGCCGCCCCACCTGCTAAAAGAAATGGTTCAATCACTTCAACTTGTGGAGCTTATTGTTTTGTTTTATAGGTGTTTCAGGTTGGATTATGTTATGCACCAATAATATTTTGGTTCTAGTTAACGAAAATATGCCATATATTTGTGCCACTGTTGACTCCAAGTATGTTGTTCATACCCAATTGGGTTTATATATATCTCACTTTTGCTAGATATATTTTTATATTTGATACAAGTCAAACAATGATTAGAAAAGGGCTATTATCCTTCACCTCCCCTGAGGTTTGGGTTTCAATCCGTCACACCCCATAAGTATAAAATATCATTTCTCATCTCCTCACATTTTGAACTTCATATTTGATAGGAAATGTGAAGTTACATATTTTACTTTCTATCCATGATCATAAGATAAAATTACATGTTAGTCCATCTTCATTTTTTTTTTTTTTTTTTTTGCTTTGAGCATGTTCGAAAACTCTTTGGAAGGTAAAAGTGGGTACCATTTGACAGATTGGAGGGTGAATTTGATGGTGTTGGGCGGTGCAATATACGTTTGTCATTTCCCAAGCACAGTCTTGTCTGAGATTGCTTGGTTGATTTTGCGCTATGTGTTGCATCTCCTGGCGAGGCAATGAGATGATTTATGATGGAGGTGGCTGTGAAAGTGGCAGAAGCAACGACAATGGTTGTAGTGGCATTTTCTCTTGGATTTTACACCTTTACACACTATTATTAACAATTGCCAACGGAGGTTTAAGACATCTTTCCAAAAGTGTATGATATTACACATACCAAGTTCTTTTACAAAGATATGTATTACTGTATATAAAGTACAAAGTCATGATATTATCTTTGAGGGTTATTATCTCTTATTTCCCCTTTTGCATTTTCTCAGTGACACCCTACAAGTTTAAAAAAGCATCCCTCACCTCCCCTCTTCTCTGCTTGCTTACAGAATCTGATGATGATGGGTTACGGGTTAATGCCTCAAAAAAGTGAAAATATCAATATATGATATTTTCATTATTTTGATAGCAGCTTCGGCATATTAGATGATTATGAATATATTAGTTCTGGTTTAGAAGTTGGTCGCTTAATGGCTCCAGGTTTCAAGATGAAGATTCTGAAGATGGGTCCAGTTCACAAGGTTATACTGATAATGGGTTTGGTTTAGCGGATGATTCTCAAGATGGGTTCAGCAGAAGGGTATTCTGAAAATGGGTCTGATTTTGTATGTGATTCTGAGGATGGGTTTGGGTTTAGTTTGGAAGATGATGATGACGATTGGTAAGGATTAGTAGATTATTTTAGTCATGGGTTTAGTTCAAATGATGAAAGTTTTGGAAGCCAAATGGATAAAACTTTAATGTAACACTCACAAAAATTTTGCTTATGGGGGAGGGAGATTTTACATTTGCTACGTGTTTGACAAATTGCTTTGGCTCTGCTACAAATATGGTTGCCACTTCTCTTGATTCATACTGTCATTTTCATTAACTCTGATGTCTGATCTCTTGTTTTTTATTTTGTTATTTTTGTTTCTTAATTCTCATTTTGAGTTGCTCATGAGATTCTTTGAATGCCGATTTTATAGTAAGAAATTATGGGCTTGGAGCGTGGGAAAATGTTGAAAGTCTGAGAGACAAAGGATGCAAAGTGATGCAGGAGGTAGATACAAAAACAATGGCGGATCATGAAGAGATTGGATCAATGTCTTTTCACAGAATTCTTTTTAATTTTCTGAAATCCAGTGAGTATAATTGTTTTTTCCTTTTTCTTGAATTGTGATTTCTGGGAATTTGAGATTGGTTAGAATAATTTCTGTTATTATTCGGATTAAGGTGAGTTTTAAATGGTAAAAATTGTGCTTGGTTTGGTTGTAGAGAGATAAGATAGATGCATATGTTTTCCACCGATAAGTGTTTTTCATCCATTGTGCATACATCATAAAGGAAAATAATACAGTCACCAAAAATAGCGTACCGAATTCATGCATCGAATAACATGACGAAATCCTGACCGTCGATTAATTATGAATTAATATTAATCGACGGTTAAGATTTTACATACGTCATTCAGTGTATGCATTCGATACGCTATTTTTGGTGACTGTAGCATTACTCCATCATAAAATACTGGCTATTCTTCTTTGTCCTACTTCGGTCAACAAGAGAAATTTTTTTTGATAATCCAGAAATCGACCGACCTCATTTTGAGAAACCGAGTTAAAAATTGAAGTCCATGTCGATCCTTGTAATCTTTAAGAAGCGGAAAAAAAATGACTTTTGACCATATAGATGGCCTATAAAGGATCTTGAACAAGAGAAATTGCCTTAAGGTTTATTATTGCCATCCTTGAATTTAACATCAAAACACTTTCCCCCCTAAATTTTGGGAAACTAACTACCACTCCCAAATTACATCTTATCAAGTAGATATTACGGTTCAAGGCATAGGAAATATGTTTGAATAAACCATTGGCATTTTTGGCCAAGTGACCGGAAGTTTTAACCGAACAATTAACCATTTTGAGACTATCACAATTCTTAAATGTAAAAATGGTGTGTTGTTTGAGCAAAATTGTTGATCTTTTATATATATATATTTTACCTCTTGCGCCGTTACATTTGAAAGAAGAACCATTTTTTAACGTCTTAGTATTATTAATTCCCCAAAATTGAAATGGAAAAACTTTTTTTATACTAAACCTTAGAGGTGACAGTGTAATGAAACCTATTTTCCAGATGATATCGATTCATTAGTTTGTCACTTAAAAAATATGTCAATCAGAAGTTTCTCTATTAAATATATTAAGAAGACAATTCTTTACTTATGGACAAGCCAAGAATTTTTTTTTTTTTCCTATTTTACTTCAATTAATAATAGTAAGTTAATAAACATAAAATCAAAAGATGACTGTCTTCATTATAAAAAGAATAATAATAAAACACAAAAAAAAAAAATAATAATAATAAGTTAATGATATTAATCCTCTTGAGATATGATATAATAACAAGATCCCCCTGAAGTTTCTAAAATAACATAAATTCCCTTATCGTTAATGAACTATTAGTGAATGTTGAAATTTAAACTGTTCCGAGTTAGTAAATATTACCAAATAGCCCTCATACTGTTTATTTTAACACTTAAAAATAGACCTGGCAAACGGGTGGGTAGGGTGGGTACGAGACGAGTAGACATAGGTCGCGGGTAAAACGAGCATGGGTCCACGGGTCAACATATGCATGAACGGGTGCTAGTCGACCCGCAGGTCACCCGCATATAATGGCATTTTCTGTAATTTTTTTGTTTGACCCAGAAAACAACTACATATTTAACTTGCTCATTTTCATACAACAAGGAAGCACAGAGGATCACAACTGCTCCCAAAATCACGTCCAAACAATCGTCATGGTAAACAACATACCTTACTTTCAGTCTCAGATGGCTACGGCGTCAACATGACAGCGACAAAGATTGGAAGATTGAGCTGTGACGAAGGCGTGAGAAAGAGCTGCCACTAAGAGTGACTGTTGCTGTTGAGAGTGAGGCAACGTCGGAGTGAGAGAGAATGAGATTGAGAGCTACCATTGTTCGAGCGAGGTGGCGCCACATTAGAGAGAATGAGAGTGACAACCGCTACTATTCGAGTGAGGCAACGTCGGAGTGAGAGAAAATGAGAGGAGAGGAGAGCTGCTGCTATTTCGTCGTCGGCATGAGTGAGCGTGAGAGAGTTGAGATTGAGCTACTGTTTTTGTTTGAGTTTGAGAGAATGAGAGTCGCATCGGAGTGAGACAGAATGAGAGTGAGAGGAGAGCTGCAGCTACTGTTGTTTCATCGTCGGCTTGGGTTTGGGAGTTGCCATTCGTCAGCGTGAGTGAGCTGTGAGCGTGAGAGAGTTGAAATTGAGTTTAAGAGAATGAGACTGAGTCGCCCTTTTTTTTTAGTTTGAGAGTAAGGGTTTGTTGATTTGTTTTGACTTTTGAATCTTGATTAATTATTCATTTATTTTGAATTATAATTATTGAATTTTTTTTTTTAATTCAAGTGCAATACTCACGGGTATTACCCAGCCCACCCGCAATTTTTACGGGCGGACCGAGTACGAGTAACTTTGAAACGGGTATTTCAAAGGGATACTCATACCCACCTGTTAGGTGCAGGTACCCATTCACCCGCGGGTACAGGCCCTCTTTTGTCAGGTCTACTTAAAACTTAATAATAGGGAAATTTCTGTAATTTCCAAAAACTTAGGAGGATTTTTGTTATTATTTCCTAGCTTGACCGTAATAATAATTGTACAACACAAATGAAAAATTGATAAAATTATTGGGCTTGGGCCGGGCTTCGAGCTTTGGCGAGTGGGGCCCAATAAAAATTTCATCATGCTTCGTTATTTATTTGGCGGGAAAATCCCTATATTTAGCACTAAAATTTATTTAAAAAAAAAAAAAACAAAACCCTTTTCATTTCTTCAACCAAAAGGAAATTTCAATCCCAAACCCTAGACCTAAATTTTATTTCAAACAGCAAATTCCCTTTGATTTCTTCAATTTATACAAATTTTCACATCTCTGATCAGAATCGAATTGGCGATGGTCAGAGAGGAGGTCCAATTGAACGCGGCGAAGCGCGCGTATCGTAGCGCGAAGGCGGAGGGGAACCGACAAGAGGAGGCGCGGTGGGCGAATGTGATAGGTGACATGTTGAAGAATAGAGGAGAGTACGTGGAGGCTCTCAAGTGGTTTCGTATCGACTACGAAGTTTCGATCAAGTACTTGCCCGAAAAGCAGTTGTTGCCCACGTGTCAGTCTCTCGGTGAAGTATATTTACGCCTCGAGTACTTCAAGGACGCCTTGATTTATCAGGTAGTAGCTTAGTCGTTTGTTTTGATGCTGTTTGGTTGCTCAGAGTATGTCGGTTGAGTTCGAAATGTTGAGATTCTGATTGTATTGGCACATTTAGTCGGTGAAGGATTAAACATAGTATTTGTCATATTTTGCAAGAAATAGACTATTATTATTTATGTTAGTAGATTTATATTCTGTATTTTTGTCCAAGTTTCACATCATTCAGTACAACACAGACCTGTATTATATAGATTTCTTGTTTTATTTTTATTTTTTTATTGATACCGAACATTTGTAGTTAAGTCTGTGATTTTCATATGCTTATCTTTTACCATTTGGTGTTCAATTCAAGCTTTGTATAATCAGGATTTGGAGGGTTTAGTGTAATGTGGACCTTGTAATTGAGAAAAGTCTTATATGTAGTTTTTGATTGTTTTTGTGGTTTATAGAAAAAGCACTTGGAGCTTGCCAAGGATACGGGTGATCTCGTTGAGCAGCAAAGAGCTAGCACGCAACTTGGTCGTACATACCATGAAATGTTTTTAAGATCTGAAGATGATCACTACTCAGTTCGCAATGCCAAAAAGTACTTCAAGTCTGCAATGAAGTTGGCTCAGACTCTAAAGGAGAGCCCACCAAGTAATAGATCTTCTTTCCTTAAAGAAAATATTGATGCACATAACAATATTGGAATGCTTGAAATGGACCTTGATAATTTGGAATCAGCCAAGAAATTCCTTACCAGAGGATTAGAGATCTGCGATGAAGAAGAGGTGAGTGAAGATGATGATGGCAGAAGCAGGATTCATCACAACCTTGGAAATGTTTATATGGAGCTGAGAATGTGGGATAAATCTCGGGAACACATTGAGAAGGACATCATAATTTGTAAGAGAATTGGACACTGCCAAGGGGAGGCAAAAGGGTATATTAATCTTGGTGAGCTGCATTACAGGGTTCAAAAGTATGAGGAGGCCATTCTTTGTTACCATAAGGCACTTAATCTGGCAAAATCCATGGAAGATGAAGATTCTTTGGTTAGCCAAATTGATCAAAATATTGAAACTGTGAAGAAAGCCATGAAAGTGATGGCTGAATTGAAGAATGAAGAGCAAAATCTGAAGAAGCTAACAAGAAATATGGTCAGTGCAGAAGGCACATCAGGTGAACGGAAGTGTCTGCTGCAGCAGAATGCATCCGTTGACCGTCTCATTGAGAAATCAAGCATGATCTTTGCTTGGCTGAAGGTTTGCTTTCTGTAGATCACACACTATCGCTGCTCTTTCAATCTTCTTGATCATTAATTGCTATTCATCATATGAAATAGTTGTCAAAAATCCTTTAAATATTGTATATAAATTGGATGTAGTCACTGCTGATCCATTAGAAGAAACAAATCAGTTGGATATGCTTTTTCATTCATGCTAATTTTGGTAAATTTTCATTGTCTTTTCCTTCTTATTTTTTTTAAAGCTGTTTCCTTTGAACCTTTCTTGATTAGCATGTCAAGAGTAATTCATGATTCTGCTGTTTTGTAGTCGGACGCCTTCATGCCATTTTGAACTTTGCTTCATTGTCATGGGTCATGCTATCATGTCTAATTTTAATGTAGAAAACAGAGAATGGTAATTCATGGTGACAGAAGGTGATTGTGAGAATGGGAGTTTAGAACTTTCTACTGGTTAATATATGTTAGTCTGCTATGTTTGAGGCACCAAAGAAAATATGGTTTACAAGATTTACTGTATCACTGGTGAAGAGAAGTCAAAACTTTAGACCACCCCACCTATGTTTCTAAAGCAATTACAACTCTTAGAAAGCGCTTAAAGCTGAATGTATTTTTTTCTCTCATATGAATTAATAGACATATAAAGGCTACCACTATTCTTATTCTAACAAGACTAGGAAATTCTATATTGACGCTAAATAATTTGTAAATATTTTACTAATAAATTATTTTAAAATAGAAAGACCTAGTGTAGCATAATGACTAAACTGAATCCCAAATAAAAAGCATTCACCACAGCTGCAACCCATGTTTAGCATTTCCTGATTTTACTAGATTTCTCATCCCCCCTAAAATCAAAAGAAAGAATCTCATAAACAAACTTAGTTACTTGGAATGAGGACCACATTGAATGAAATCCATTTTTTTATAAATTAGTTTATATATGTTTTCCATGGAAGCTCTTGTTTTTGCAGAGCAGATTGTTGGAATTTGTTCTATGTTTACTGCATTCCTTTTGAAGTTTATATGTAATATGGCTTTTGATTCATATCTTAAATTTAAGATGCAGAATGCTAAATATGCTCATAGGCTAGCTATACATGCATTTGTTTCCTGCCTCTACATTTAAGCTGTATGTATGGGTTGTTTTGCACATTTTAGAGGTCTTCAGAAGGAATTGATGCAGCTGGCAATTAGTTTATTTTTGTCCTATCTAATTTATATCCTTTTTGTGTCTTCTGTGACAACTTTTTGTTTAGCATCGTGAGTTTGCAAAAAGGAAGAAAAGAATAGCAAGCGAACTTTGTGACAAGGAAAAGCTTAGTGATTCTTTTTTAGTTATTGGAGAATCATACCATAAGCTCAGAAAATTCAAGAAAGCCATTAAATGGTACACAAAGAGTTGGGAAATATACAAGTCAATTGGCAATATGGAGGTAAGTTTGGTGGTAGCAGTATGATCTACTATTTACATATTCTGTTGATTTCAATAGAGGGATAGCATAACCCTGAAATTAGAATCCGTCTTATATGTGTATATATTGGTGACCTTGAGTCCTTGACAATCAACATACTTTCTCAGCTGGAGTTTTCAGGTTCTGGATGGTATTACTGTCCAGAGAATGTGGATATCATATTGGCAGTTATGTTCATGGATATGCTGTACTTTTGGTGGTTGGTCAAATACTAACCTTAAAAGGCTATTTATTTCAGGGTCAAGCATTGGCAAAGATTAACATCGGTGATGTTTTGGACTGTGATGGTGATTGGGCAGGAGCACTTGATGCTTTTGAAGAAGGCTATAGGTAATTTATTTGCATTCTTGATTTTTCTAGTGAACTAGAATTTTCCTGGGAGTTGGAACCTGTAATGGCTTCTTAAGTTGCATAAGTTCTTGGAAGAGGGAATTACTTCATCACAAGCTGAACATTTCTCATAGATGAACTAGATATGTTGCAAAGAAATACATTCTTTTTAATAACTAATATGGGTTTAATATGCATTGCATACATTTTACCGCTCTTTGGATATATAAGAAGACCATATTAATTACTACAAAATGTAATAAAACAAACTACAGTGGTGTACCAAATCCATGGTTTCCTATGGTAGTGCCCAATGATAGTTTGACCACTTAATTATGCAGTTTTTCTAAACACTGCCACATGTTTTATTTTAAGAAACCAGATTCAATCTGCTTTTTGCTAGCCATAGAGATTGCATAAAATTAAAGTTCTTAGCCAAGGATGCAGTTCACCTCGACAATTTACTCAAAAGTTGATAGATTTTGATAGTTTGTCTAAAGACTAGAGGAGAGTACGTGGAGGCTCTCAAGTGGTTTCGTATCGACTACGAAGTTTCGATCAAGTACTTGCCCGAAAAGCAGTTGTTGCCCACGTGTCAGTCTCTCGGTGAAGTATATTTACGCCTCGAGTACTTCAAGGACGCCTTGATTTATCAGGTAGTAGCTTAGTCGTTTGTTTTGATGCTGTTTGGTTGCTCAGAGTATGTCGGTTGAGTTCGAAATGTTGAGATTCTGATTGTATTGGCACATTTAGTCGGTGAAGGATTAAACATAGTATTTGTCATATTTTGCAAGAAATAGACTATTATTATTTATGTTAGTAGATTTATATTCTGTATTTTTGTCCAAGTTTCACATCATTCAGTACAACACAGACCTGTATTATATAGATTTCTTGTTTTATTTTTATTTTTTTATTGATACCGAACATTTGTAGTTAAGTCTGTGATTTTCATATGCTTATCTTTTACCATTTGGTGTTCAATTCAAGCTTTGTATAATCAGGATTTGGAGGGTTTAGTGTAATGTGGACCTTGTAATTGAGAAAAGTCTTATATGTAGTTTTTGATTGTTTTTGTGGTTTATAGAAAAAGCACTTGGAGCTTGCCAAGGATACGGGTGATCTCGTTGAGCAGCAAAGAGCTAGCACGCAACTTGGTCGTACATACCATGAAATGTTTTTAAGATCTGAAGATGATCACTACTCAGTTCGCAATGCCAAAAAGTACTTCAAGTCTGCAATGAAGTTGGCTCAGACTCTAAAGGAGAGCCCACCAAGTAATAGATCTTCTTTCCTTAAAGAAAATATTGATGCACATAACAATATTGGAATGCTTGAAATGGACCTTGATAATTTGGAATCAGCCAAGAAATTCCTTACCAGAGGATTAGAGATCTGCGATGAAGAAGAGGTGAGTGAAGATGATGATGGCAGAAGAAGGATTCATCACAACCTTGGAAATGTTTATATGGAGCTGAGAATGTGGGATAAATCTCGGGAACACATTGAGAAGGACATCATAATTTGTAAGAGAATTGGACACTGCCAAGGGGAGGCAAAAGGGTATATTAATCTTGGTGAGCTGCATTACAGGGTTCAAAAGTATGAGGAGGCCATTCTTTGTTACCATAAGGCACTTAATCTGGCAAAATCCATGGAAGATGAAGATTCTTTGGTTAGCCAAATTGATCAAAATATTGAAACTGTAAAGAAAGCCATGAAAGTGATGGATGAATTGAAGAATGAAGAGCAAAATCTGAAGAAGCTAACAAGAAATATGGTCAGTGCAGAAGGCACATCAGGTGAACGGAAGTGTCTGCTGCAGCAGAATGCATCCGTTGACCGTCTCATTGAGAAATCAAGCATGATCTTTGCTTGGCTGAAGGTTTGCTTTCTGTAGATCACACACTATCACTGCTCTTTCAATCTTCTTGATCATTAATTGCTATTCATCATATGAAATAGTTGTCAAAAATCCTTTAAATATTGTATATAAATTGGATGTAGTCACTGCTGATCCATTAGAAGAAACAAATCAGTTGGATATGCTTTTTCATTCATGCTAATTTTGGTAAATTTTCATTGTCTTTTCCTTCTTATTTTTTTTAAAGCTGTTTCCTTTGAACCTTTCTTGATTAGCATGTCAAGAGTAATTCATGATTCTGCTGTTTTGTAGTCGGACGCCTTCATGCCATTTTGAACTTTGCTTCATTGTCATGGGTCATGCTATCATGTCTAATTTTAATGTAGAAAACAGAGAATGGTAATTCATGGTGACAGAAGGTGATTGTGAGAATGGGAGTTTAGAACTTTCTACTGGTTAATATATGTTAGTCTACTATGTTTGAGGCACCAAAGAAAATATGGTTTACAAGATTTACTGTATCACTGGTGAAGAGAAGTCAAAACTTTAGACCACCCCACCTATGTTTCTAAAGCAATTACAACTCTTAGAAAGCGCTTAAAGCTGAATGTATTTTTTTCTCTTATATGAATTAATAGACATATATAGGCTACCACTATTCTTATTCTAACAAGACTAGGAAATTCTATATTGACGCTAAATAATTTGTAAATATTTGACTAATAAATTATTTTAAAATAGAAAGACCTAGTGTAGCATAATGACTAAACTGAATCCCAAATAAAAAGCATTCACCACAGCTGCAACCCATGTTTAGCATTTCCTGATTTTACTAGATTTCTCATCCCCCCTAAAATCAAAAGAAAGAATCTCATAAACAAACTTAGTTACTTGGAATGAGGACCACATTGAATGAAATCCATTTTTTTATAAATTAGTTTATATATGTTTTCCATGGAAGCTCTTGTTTTTGCAGAGCAGATTGTTGGAATTTGTTCTATGTTTACTGCACTCCTTTTGAAGTTTATATGTAATATGGCTTTTGATTCATATCTTAAATTTAAGATGCAGAATGCTAAATATGCTCATAGGCTAGCTATACATGCATTTGTTTCCTGCCTCTACATTTAAGCTGTATGTATGGGTTGTTTTGCACATTTTAGAGGTCTTAAGAAGGAATTGATGCAGCTGGCAATTAGTTTATTTTTGTCCTATCTAATTTATATCCTTTTTGTGTCTTCTGTAAAAACTGTTTGTTTAGCATCGTGAGTTTGCAAAAAGGAAGAAAAGAATAGCAAGCGAACTTTGTGACAAGGAAAAGCTTAGTGATTCTTTTTTAGTTATTGGAGAATCATACCATAAGCTCAGAAAATTCAAGAAAGCCATTAAATGGTACACAAAGAGTTGGGAAATATACAAGTCAATTGGCAATATGGAGGTAAGTTTGGTGGTAGCAGTATGATCTACTATTTACATATTCTGTTGATTTCAATAGAGGGATAGCATAACCCTGAAATTAGAATCCGTCTTATATGTGTATATATTGGTGACCTTGAGTCCTTGACAATCAACATACTTTCTCAGCTGGAGTTTTCAGGTTCTGGATGGTATTACTGTCCAGAGAATGTGGATATCATATTGGCAGTTATGTTCATTGATATGCTGTACTTTTGGTGGTTGGTCAAATACTAACCTTAAAAAGCTATTTATTTCAGGGTCAAGCATTGGCAAAAATTAACATCGGTGATGTTTTGGACTGTGATGGTGATTGGGCAGGAGCACTTGATGCTTTTGAAGAAGGCTATAGGTAATTTATTTGCATTCTTGATTTTTCTAGTGAACTAGAATTTTCCTGGGAGTTGGAACCTGTAATGGCTTCTTAAGTTGCATAAGTTCTTGGAAGAGGGAATTACTTCATCACAAGCTGAACATTTCTCATAGATGAACTAGATATGTTGCAAAGAAATACATCCTCTTTAATAACTAATATGGGTTTAATATGCATTGCATACATTTTACTGCTCTTTGGATATATAAGAAGACCATATTAGTTACTACAAAATGTAATAAAACAAACTACAGTGGTGTACCAAATCCATGGTTTCCTATGGTAGTGCTCAATGATAGTTTGACCACTTAATTATGCAGTTTTTCTAAACACTGCCACATGTTTTATTTTAAGAAACCAGATTCAATCTGCTTTTTGCTAGCCATAGAGATTGCATAAAATTAAAGTTCTTAGCCAAGGATGCAGTTCACCTCGACAATTTACTCAAAAGTTGATAGATTTTGATAGTTTGTCTAAAGACCATTGCTGTTCTGGCTTTCTAAGAAACCAGACTCAATCTACATTTTGCTAGAAATAAGCCACATAACATGCATAACCAAGCATCCACTTCACCTTGGTCAGTTTACTCAATAAGTTGATACTTTAAACTGGGAAAATCATGGTTTTTTTTTTTTTTTTTTTTTGGTGTGTGTATATATGTTTTCATTACTATTGCAACTAATTTAATCATCATCATTATTTTCTTATAGCAGGTTTTGCCATTACTTTCAGATTACTATATTGAGCAGATTTAGTCTGGAATTTTAACATCTTTTAAGATAGACGTTGTGTACCATGTCTCTTATTGCAAGAATTTTCAGCCAAGAAAAGAAAATGAGAAATGAAAAAATGTTAGATCATTTGTTTCCATTGAGCCAGTATGAATTATCTAAGGCAAATTGTAATGTCATTTTTCCTTGTACTTGCTTGAAAATGCACCCTTTTTAGCTTATATTGATCTCAACTTATTTGAAATTGTAATTATTTGGTATTGCAGGATTGCTGTTGAAGCTAATCTTCCTTCTGTTCAACTTTCTGCACTAGAGAATATGCACTATAGTCACATGATAAGATTTGACAATGTTGAAGAGGCCAGGTAAATGTGTTTAATGCGGTATTTTGTCTCATGCACTATGGAGGATGGTGAGAAGAGATTTTGCATTCCAGAGGGGCTATTAGTCACCTATTACACCGTTTAAGGCTCAGTTCTCTGTCTGACTGTGATTAAGATGTGAAGTCTTAAAGATGAAAGCCAAAACCTTAATAATTATATTTTGTGATACTTTAACTTGAATTCTGTAACATATAAATTTCACTACTTTTGGAATTTTGGATTATATTCTTGACAAAAAATTTCAATATTTGCCTAAAGAAAGTTCTTTTCTATAGGAGGTTGCAGCTTGCAATTGATAAGCTGAAAGATTCAGAAACCACAAATCTTGAAGCACAAGAAGTGGCAGGGGATATCTGCTCTGAGACTGACACAGAAGGGAATGATCACTTGTCGGATGGTAGGTCTTCTGCAAGTTGCTCTCCAAAGATGAGTAAAGCTGGTTCTGGTCAATCAAAATCTTTAGCTGGTGTAGAAGAGTTTAAAGATGATGTACCTCTAATTTCAATTCTTCAGTCCAGCAAAAGGTCAGCCAAAATGAGAACAGCTTATGTTCAGAAACAGAATGTTACTAAAAAGCCAACTGAAGCCTCTCCAAAAAGTTTGTCTAAATTAACTGATAGTCAGCAGACAGGTGTTGGTCGGAAACGTGTTCGGGTAGTTCTTTCAGATGATGAAGGTGAAATGCATGATGATGTAGAATGCATGAAAGGAAGATTTCACAAGAATCTAGTTGAAGATATTGCTACTTCTGATGAAAGTGAGTTTTCTTAACCATTATTGATTTGATCTTACATTGTCATTACTATTAAAACTTAGTTGTGATAGGTGTTTTCTTTGCCTGGTTGCAGTCAAGAATAAAAGTGGTCCAGGTAGTCCTTGTATATTTCAGGTACGCTAGCAGTTTTGTCAATCCTTGAAGTATAATGCTTTCATTCTGAAGTTGGTGGCCAATTGCTTAATCCACTTTGTTTGAGCAGGATGTCACAGCAGCGACTTCCAAATGTGCTAACAATTCTGGCAATTGTATTAATGTTGAAGAAAGCACATGTTCGTACAAATATATGAGTCCTAAACCAGCCACTCCAAATGCAAATGCCATTAGATGCTCCGCAGAAGTTCCTTCCGAGTCTAATTTTGCTACTAGTGTTTCCAAAGATGATATTGATGTCTCAAGGAACATACTGCATAAACACAGGCCATCTAACTCCAAGTTGCATAATCCTGATGATGATAATGATGTGAGTGTTATTTATCTCTTGCTAGAGTAGATGGGTACTCACATACCATTTATGGTTGCACTGCATTGTTGTCATTGCCATTATAGAAAATGATGAGTAGGAAGTATTCCTTGTGGATGGCTCCATTTTGCTGTTTCATCATGCTTAAAAAGTATATCATCCATCATTGACTGGGTGCCTTTGGTAGACCCATTGATTTATCTTCAGAAATAAAATCCAGCCATGCATCGGGATCCACTCTCTCTCAAGTCAGTTGATCTGATATTTCTTTGGGCCTGATCTTGATGCTGTTGCCATTAAGGGTTTATCAGTACTTTCTTATTTGATTTTCTTAAATGAATGCTTATTAGCTCATATCATGATATGCTGTGCATGTATCAACAAGAATGGTGTACATACTCCATCATTTTACCTCATTTGTATCATATGGTTATTGTTGTCATGTTTTACTAACCCATGATCTGTTGCACTGATTGCAGCAATGTATAACATTCAAAGTTGACAATGATTTGATACATTTGGAAGCTCGTTCATTAATTGATGGTGACAACTTTAACTTTGAGTAATTGAAGGTTGAACTGGCATGCTTATACTATCTGCAACTCCCTATAGAGAAGAGATCTAAAGGTAGGAATCTACAACCAAATCCTTTATGCTGGTGATCAAAATCAGGTCATATATGAACTACCTAGCTAGAAATATACCTAATTTAAGTTGATGAAGGAATTAGTTGCTACTGAATGTGTAACAGTACATTAAAATTTCTATGGATTAAAATTTTAAATCGAGAATGGTTGCTTTGTAACTTCTTAATTCTTAATTGTGACGTGGTTTTGTTATCAGCTAAACAAGTGCATGACACAGGTACTGTAGTGTTCTAATAAACATTATCATCATGTGTATAATAACATTTAAGTTGTCAAATAAATGTCATAAAATGGCCTTGACAATGAAGGCTCATTTCTGGTTGAGGATGTCTAAAGTATCAAACACCGCTGTCTGACTGTGGATTACATATAATTTTCATGTTTCACACACAGTTCAGCTTTATATGTGTTAAGTGTGGGCTACCACCATGGCTGCACTTTCAGATTACATTTTGTTGGGAAACTTACGTGTATTGCTCAGAAAAACTACTTTATAAACTAGAAATAAGAGATTGATTTTTGTATTTACAAGATATATAAATGTGCCTTATATATTTCAGAAATAATATTTTAACAACAAAAAAAATGGAAGTGTGTCATGTATTAATATTTTAGGAAAGTAGGTTTGTTTCTTTTCTAAATCTTGTTCTTAAAAACAGTGAAAATATCTTGAATTATTTCTTTGTTTAATATTAATTTTTGAGAAAATGATACTTTAGTGTTTCCAAAATCATTTTTTTCAATTGGAGCACTTCTTTTGTTTGTCTATTTTTAGAATTGGAAAACAAAAAGTGAGCACATCTTATCAAAAGAACAAAAATTTTGTGGCCTGAAATGTCTTTGGATTGATGCAAGCTTCATTATTATTTTCATTTCATTTTTCATATCTTGTGCGTTTCTCATTGTTCAGAAGTTTTCTTTAAATTTAACTAAATTTCTTCTAATATACAAATTTTGTCTCACCAGGTCTGTTGCCCATAATTCAGCATATTAAATGTGATGAAAGAGCTCTAGAATCCTTGGAAGCATTTGAAACTCTCAAGGATCATCTGGGAAAACATTTGGTTGAAGTCCTTATTGATGGTATGCTTTATGAATTCCTTTTTATTGCATGAAGTCTGCTGTTGTAACCCATTGTTCTTTGTTTCTAGGTTCTTAACTGCTGTGGCATGAATAATAATCATTTTTGATGTTTTAACTACTGCAATTTGGGAACACTTTTTTTCAATCCATATCATTTTGCTAAAAACAATATGTTTTGTCCTTGTATGGATGTACATGCTTAAATAATTTCAAGTTATACTAAATTTGATGAAATTGATCAAGATGCTGGGCCATTAAGAATTGATTTTATTCAATACTTTCAGCTTAAATTTCTTCTGTTAATAGGAACTGAACTTAAAGCCCCACCCCTCCCAGATTTATTCACTAGGTTAGATGCTGTTAGTTATATCTCAATTGGCAGTAACTAGTAGGATTCGAGACTGACTATACAATTCAGAGGTAAGAATCTAGGTTCAGTCCCTTCTAAATTTCTTTAAAGGGGTAACATATTCGTAATATATTCCATTTATTGTTATCTTTCAGGGTGGGTTCAAAAGCGCTTGATGAAGCTGTACATTGACTGCTGCAAGGAGATATCTGAGGCACCCAATATGAAGCTGCTTAAAAAACTATACATCTCGGAGGTAAGAATATAGGTCCAACAGGTGCTAGTCAGTGAAAATATGTTCTTCTCTTGTTCCCTGTTGTACAAATTTTTGCTGGCCAAGTTATTAGATTCTCCCCCTTTGAGGTTCAAATTGTTTCATGTATTTTTCTGTTAATCTGTTTAACAGGTAGAGGATGAAGTCATAGTGTCTGAATGTGAATTGCAAGACATCTCAATAACTCCATTGTTGAATGCCCTGCACACCCACAAAGCTGTTGCCATGCTAGACCTTTCTCACAATTTGTTAGGTGACACTATCTGGTTTCTAGTCCATTGTTCATTCCCTTAGAGTTGTTTATGAACTGCATATTGGTTTATGAACTGCATATTGTGTGCTCACCTTTATTGACATTCTTAGACTTAACTATATCTTGAGTTCCTGTCACTTTATTTCTCAAGATATGAATACTACTCCACTGTGCAATCTAATTGGCTGACATTAGCCACCTATTGGTTTGTATTTCTTCTAGGAAACGGAACAATGGAGAAACTTCAACAATTTTTCTCATCTTCTGGCCAAAAATACGGCGACTTAACTTTAGATTTGCATTGCAATCGTTTTGGTCCAACAGCTTTATTTCAGGTTTGTAATCCTGTCCCGACATCTTTATTTCTGCATCTGCAAAAGACTCACAATTTCCTTAGGCCTGTCTTCTACTGATTGATTTAAAGGTTCAGTGTCCTTAATACATTGAATCATTCAAACTCCATATTCTTTTGAAGATTTAAATCATGATTTGACCTCCCATTGTACCTTTATCTCCTTTTACATGCTCTACAGATTCTATTGCTTGATTGAGGGAAATAACTTTATTTGACTTGTCTTTGCACTTTCCTGCTATTGGACTCGGCTTAGATACCATTGAACCACTGGGCATTGAAGACTGGAATTCTATACAAATGCAATTATTCTTCTTACAACCCTTAAATCCTTCAGAGATGCTGATTCTATGCTTTTAGTACTTTTTTCCTTCTTTATTATCAACATGCAGTGAACAATACCTTCATTTGACTTCTTAATATGCTTGTCTTATTGCAAATCATCAGATTTGTGAATGTCCTGTGCTATTCACCCGACTGGGAGTGCTTAATCTCTCTGGAAATCGCCTTACTGATGCATGTGGATCTTACCTTTCAACAATCTTGGAAAATTGCAAAGGTGAATGATTTTCCACTTCTCAGTTAATTCAGTTTTTTTCTTTCTTGGGTCAAAGTTTACGTTGGTTCTTGCCTGCATCAAATGGTTGTCATTATATTTTTCTTTTTCTTTTCTTTCTTCCATATTTTTTTTTTTTGGGATCCGTTACCATTATGCACTAAGTAGTTAGGATTAAATTTTTGTAGAGTTGAATTAGTCCAATTTCAATCCATTTATCTGGCATTTATGCTTGATGTGGGTTCTTGTACTCCATTGATCTCCTTATTTCTTCTGCTAATAGATGCTCTTGTTTTCTAGCCCTGTACAGCCTGAATATAGAACACTGTTCTATCACATCTAGAACAATCCAAAAGGTTGCTGATGCACTCAGTGCTGAATCTATACTCGCCCAGCTCTGTATAGGTACACTTACCAAATAGGTTAATAACGATGGCCAGTGTATTGCTTTTTGTTGCATATAAAGTTCTCTAAGTCTCACTTCTTTGACAGGAAACAACCACCCTGTAACTGGGAATGCTATCATTAATTTATTGTCCAAACTTGCTCTTTTGAAAAGGTTTGAATGTAGAACTAAATTCTTGTTTTCCTTTAAATGTTTTTGAACTTAATGCATCCATTAGTCATATACGCTAAATTTAAGTATTTGACTGTGTAGTTTTTCGGAGCTGAATCTAAATGGTTTGAAGCTCAGCAAGCCTGTTGTCAATAGCCTTTGCCAACTTGCTAGTACCGCATGTTTGACAAATCTTATGCTTAGGAGCACTGGCGTAGGAACTGTAAGTACTGTCAGCTTATGTTTCCTACTTATTTTTGGAACTTTGAATGTACCATAAGCAAGTTTCAACCCCTCATTTGACTGGATCTTGATGTTATATGCAGGATGATGCACTACAATTAACCGAGTCATTGATCAGTGGGGCTCAAGAATCTTTGAAACTTGACTTGTCATACTGTGGAATAACATCAATTTTCATTCACAAACTTAATGTCGATGTTGGTCTAGTACATAGCATTCTTGAACTAAACCTGGGAGGAAATCCTATTATGCAAGAGGTTTGTTATTTATCAATTTTTTTGCCAATGGTTACACGTATTTTTTTACAAATGTATTTGTCTCACTGGAAATTTAATTCGTAATTTCTTGTTATTCCTTGAACATTTCCCTTATTTTCTTAACACAAACAATTATACAAACAGGGTGGCCGTGCATTAGCATCACTGATTATGAATCCTCAATGTTGTCTAAAAGTTTTGGTACTAAACAAGTGTCAGCTGGGGCTTGCTGGAGTTCTTCAACTAATCCAGGCACTAGCAGGTCTGAACCATAGAACCTAATTTTGTTTCCCATCCTCAAACTAGCTTTTTTATTTATTATTATTATTGTTACTATTGATTTTATTATTTCATGCAGAGAATGTCACTGTAGAGGAGCTCAATCTTGCTGATAATGCCGAACTGGATAAACAATTAGCTCTACGATATGACTCGACAGAGAATTTGAACCCAGAAGTTTTACAGCCCAAACTCAATACATCTGAACTTTCAGTCAAGAGGTGCGTGTCCATGGAAGCCGACCCTGATATACAGGGTTCATGTCAAATGAACACCGACTACAATAACCTTGAAGTTGCTGATAGTGAAGACTTGGACGATCAGAACAGAGTAGAAAATGCTGCATCTGCATTTGATGACAGTTGCACAAGCCCATGTCAAAAGAATTCATCTCTGGAGTGTCAATTCGTTCAAGAGCTCTCAACCGCAATTAGCATGGCAAAGCAGTTGCAGCAGTTGGATCTCAGCAACAACGGTTTCTCAACACAAGCTGCTGAAACATTATATTCCGCTTGGTCATCTAGATTAGGAGTTGCAAATGCCTGGAAGCACATTAAGAATCAGACAATCCATTTATCAGTCGAAGAAAACAAGTGCTGCAGAGTAAAACCCTGCTGCAGAAAGGAATTGACTTAAGATTGCTACCAGAATCTTTCTTCTTTTAAGCTAATTTTGCAACTGCAATTAGTAACAGGATTATAGCATATTATTATTCAATCAGCATTGCCGTGGAACCGCGATGACTGGTAATACCTCTTAGCCATGTTTTCATCATATTTTACTCTGATTGTTTGACTAGCAATTTGTATAGTATTACATAGGACATGTATAGATACTTGGCACAAAAAAAAAAAAAAATGATCTCTTTTGTTAATAGTTTATTTAAGCATTATTTATGAACAATGAATCTTACCTCTATCTTATACTAGAAATTAAGTGCATGCATCCTACCAATTCAAAACTATTATTAGAGGAATAAAATACCATTTGATTCTTTAGACTATTGAGTTTTTAAAATTAATCACACAAGTGGTAGTCGACTAGTTTCTTGTGTAATTTCTATTAGATAAGTTCACTACAGATAACGTGATATTCTCAATTATAAATACCTTTTATAGACCCACATAAATGTATATATATATTTTCTTGATGATCAGAGTATTCAAGTTATAATTTACACGTATTTCAATTAATCTTCAGGACCTTCGAATTATTGATCGGATAAGAGTTTTAGTAGTTATTTTTATTAACAACCAAAAAGGAACTTGAATTCAAAACTTTTTGAATAATACACGTAGGAGTCTTTATCAAATCATTCGGTTACTTAAAAACAATTTACACATAATGTATGTACACTTATCTTTTGGGTATAATTTGAATGATTAGCCATAAATTTTAGTCAAATTGAGTATTAGATAATGTGATCCATATATATATATATATAATATATGATTAATTTAATGTAATCTAATAATCCCCGTTAGACATCTAACAATCAACTTATTAGTGGGCACTTTTTACACTCAAATAGTTTAATTAAACATAGCCATTGTTGCCATTAAACAAGAGACGTGTTTGATGAGTCACTGAGTCAATATAATATTGTCATTTTTTATTCCAATAAATATAAATCTTGCCCTCAATTTTAGGGCAAAATCTAGAGGGATATCTTCATCTCATCATTAAACTTGGTGGTAGCTCTCCTCCGCCTAAAGTATTAATAAAAATACCTGATGTTATTGTCAAGTACTATATTATCAAAAAAAAAAAAGGATTAATTTTAATATATTTTAGTCAAACCTAGTGATAGGAGGATAATGAAATTATTTTTATTAAAATTAAAGAAATAATGAAAAATATTAAAGCTTGTTAAGGGGATTTTGACTGAAAAAATAACATAAAAGTTTAGCTATATATGAATTAATCCTTCATATGATATAATTTACAAATAAAAAAATGAGGGCATCAATGAAGCATTTTCAATATAATTCAAGTGATCATATGCTACATGTCGTTAATAAACTAGTAAAATTTATAAATGAGTTGATAATATTATCAAATTACCCTTTTATCGTTTATTTTATATTTAAACTTAACGATATGTGTATTTCTATTATTTCCAAAACCTCAAGGAATTTTCTTATTTCAATTTACGTTAGGGGATTAATAATTAATATTATCAACTCTATTATATTTTATTTGCAATATTCACAATTGAATTTGGAATAAAATATCTAATTTATTTGATTATAACAACTGACTTAATACTCATTTTTTATTTCTTTCATATAAAAATTATAATCCAATTCTTTTATATAACCCCAAAAAAATATATATATAATAATGCCAATAATTTTTTTCCGCCAAAATGGAATAATTCTCCACACATATTCACTGCCTTTTGATGGTAAAATAATTTCCCAACATAATAATTTCACATCGTGCATATTTACCCTTTTCCCTTTTCTTTTTTCTTCTTTTTTTTTAAATTATTTATTTTAAATTTCTAATTTTTTTTTTTTCTCATAAGATGAATCATCATACATCATAATTGAGTTGACAATTTTTACAACTTTAAAAACTCAAAATAATTAATTGATGCTTTTTTTTTTTCTATATGATAATTCATTTCATGCGGTGGAAATTAAGCTATAATTATATTTACAATTATACCATTCAATTCTTTTGAGCTTATTGCTTAGTAAATAATAATGTCACAAAGTGTATATACCATGATTATATCATATTCCAAATCATACTTGTAAATATTTTTTCATCCACATAAAATGGTATAATTATTTTTAATAATTGATTTGATAAATGAAATATCATTTTTAATCATTCAAAATTTTACAAATTAGTGAAAGAGAAAAATTCGATCTTTTTTATCCGCGTAATTTTGGTTAACATAATTTTAGATGAGGTAAATAATCATTCCTCTATTCTAATTAAATGATGGAGATTCATTTGATCTAATGGTGGTTAATAAAGTTGTAATAATGTCTAATGATCAATTAATGGTAGAATTATGGGTTAATTAGTATAAGGTAATGACACAAGGTGTATAGCATTAGCATTTTATTGTACATTATAATGTGCTTTATTTATTAATTAATTATTTTTTTTGTGTACAATGAAATGAACCATCATTCAAATAATTGATTGAAAAAATGAGGTGTCATATACAAGGGTTAATTTAATTACTAAGCTAAAAGGTTATAAATTTTTAGAAATTATTTGGGTAATCTTATTTACATTACAGTTAATTATTAAATCAAACCCCATTAAAAATACATCATGGACTTTCACATGTGCACAATCAATATTTGATTTATTTATTTTTAATATTTTAATAACATTCTTTTACTATATTTATATGTTATTTAAATAATTATAATCAATATTTAATTAAAATATTTGTTAATTTATATGAGAAACCTTCATTTACGGAAAAATAGATAGAAATATTTTTGAAGCTTCGGAGATCATCGTAAATCTTCCCTAAAATTCGTTAAAGCATTTTAAATTTTATTAAAAATTTTGAGATATAAACTTGAGGTATATAATATTACTCATCCAAAAAAATAAATAAATAAATAAGGTAAATATATTTGTGACCAAGTTTGTAAGAAGGGTATTTTAATATATAAGCTATATACGATATAATTTGTATTAATTACATTTGATTTAAACAAAAAAAAAAATTAGAAAAATAGTAATTAATAGAATCAAAAATAAAAACAGAAACATAAATATTAATAATATTAAAGGTGACCGTTAAAAGATGATTATAATTTTTGCATTAATCTTTAATTAAATCTTTTTTCTTGGATAGTTCATAATAAATGAACAAACTAGATATGACAGATGAAGAATTAATTTATTAGGGAAATTAATATATATTAATCATATACTATATAAAACCTAGATTAATCTTAAACATATTTATATTAATTAAACTATGAATTAAGGACCCTCAAATATAAAATTAATAAATCATGGATAACCATTAGGGGTGTTTAAAAAAACCGGTTGGAACCAAAATCGGCAGGTACCCGGGGTTTGGTTCCGGTTCTTACCTAGAACCGGTCGTTAACGAGTAGGTTCCGGTTCCAAATTTTTGGAATAGTTATTGTGCGATTCCGGTTCCGGTTCCTATAGTTAAGAATAGGAATCGAAAACCGAGACTAATATAAAATAAAATTAAAGAGTAAAGGGGTTAATAAAAACTTTTGTAGAAAAAGTAATGTGAATATATTTATATTTATATTTCATAACATTTAAAGTAAGTTGGTTTGACTTTTGAGAATCTACCTTTACAAAGTAATGAAGTTTGTAATGTTGAATTTATAATTTATAATTTTATTTTTGTTAACAAGTGCTGGGGGGAGGGGGGGTATTTGTAAGTTTTTAAGGTTTTTTTTGCCATTTTAAAAACTTTTGGAGGGTCATTGAATTTTATAGGGTATCCAAAACCAAAACCAGAACTTTTGTTACTGGTTCTAGTTCTAGGTACCTAGGAACCGGAACCGTCGGTTCTGGTTCTGATTCCAAATTTCAAGAAACCGTCGGTTTCGGTTCCGATTCCTTCAAAAAATGTAAGGTACCCGGAACCGAATACCCATAATAACCATCATTCATTTACTTAAAACAAATAGCTTTCGAACTGTGTCATTTCATGAATCTATCTTTAATTAGGGCAGTGGATTTGGCATAACCCAGACTTCTTCATCATGAACAGAACCCCTTCAAGTTATAAAAAAATTTATACATTTTTATTAAATTACCCTAACCCTAGTTTAGTTGAATGGTTATGATTTATGCTCGGATTTTAGATTAGAGTTCTTCTTGATATTTCTCGTTTTTTTCAAACATTGTAAAGTAAATCAATGAATGATTGCCATCAGTTTCGATGAAAGTTAGTCGAGAGGTTAGGTATATGGTGTGTTCTCATAAGATCTAAAATTCGAGTTCCTTCTTTCCAAAGATTATAAGATTACTGGTTATTAGTTTTTACAGAAAAGTCTTGGGAAGAATTCAATTTTTAATTCAAACTACAACAAATTTCCAACTCACAAATTCAACGGCGTATGACGAAGATTTGTTGTAAGAACGACTAATTTCCAAGGACAATTTACCTATGCTAGGATGAGGAACTTCTAGATTATTAGAAAAGGAAAAAATGAAATTAGCTAAAGCATAACTAGGGTTGGTCCTTTATTCGACAAACGTGACTAAAGTAAGCGTCTTAGGTTTCTAAACTTATGATTAATCATAAAATTTCTGTAACATATTTTACTCCAATTAATCAAATATTTATAAAAACTAATTAATTAACTGTTTGATTAAACAATTTTAAACCCACTTTCTAGTGCATGGCTCATCATTGTAATGCCTATTTTTCAATCGATTGGCAAACTTTTGGGTTCTTTATATTTAGCTTTTTCCATAAAACAGGGAACAAAATTGAATTATAATTCTTAGAAAAAATATAATTTAGAATAGTACAATTCTGGTCAAAGATGAAGAACCTAATTAAATTTAAGATAAAATAATCAAAATTCAAACAAAAGGGGCCCCTGATGTGCTAATTCAATCGTACAATTTCTGGATTATCACATGGAATACTAGAAAAAAAATGATATTATGTTGACCACGCTAGAAATAGATAATTAATTAATTACTTAATTATAAGGTTAATTAAGGTTAGATAATTTATGATAATGTTTCAATTGACAGACAACTAACATCTCTTCACGTGATAATCCAGAAAAAAACTTTAATCAACGAGTCCACAATTTTAATTGATTTTCAAG